TGAATTTATAATCGATAGTTAATCTTGTCTTGCCTGTATGTGTGGATAAGATACAAACAGATGTGCGTCTGTGTCGCCTTGCAGTTTTACTTACGAGAGGTTGATATTTTAACACATATATTACACAGAAGCATCTGAATGCTGCTAATGTTTATTCAAGAACCACGACAGCTGATTATAATCGTGGTTGACTGGTTAGTTTTATCGACTGAATTAATTAGTTAGGTTTAAATACTAACCAACAATACTATAAAGCAGCGAATGATCTTAGTGGCAAATGGACTTAAGAGACGATGAAGAGGAAAAAGAATAAGTGTAGGGTGCAATAATAGAGATAATGAGTTGTGTTATTCGAAGTCTTGCTCACCAGTGTGGATCGCTAACGTAGATGATATGTGCCAAATTATTTGGCTAGGGCTCAGTGACATTTCACCGGCCCTTCGGCCCGATACCTGGATTATCGACCAATAAACATTAATAAGTACCTGGAACCGTGAGGAAACAAAAAGAAGCGAGCTAAAATAAATTAGTCAGTTTGTGCAAGGTCGTCACAAGGAAATCGAATATTTTTGTCTGCTCACTAAGATTGCAATCATATAAATTCTTTCCACACCCAGCTAGTCACTATCTTGGTCTTGTGATAGCTATTCGTTCCGGAACGAAAAAGGGCAGTGATTTTTGTACTTGTTGTGATTATACTTGCTTTTGGTACTTATTGCACTAAAAAGCATTCTTGGTCTACTTTAACTAAGAGTTCTTTGGTTAAAGTTTGAAATTTTTTGCTACATTTTGTCCTGGGTACCTGTTTTTAGTCCTTGACTAAGACCTGTGTTCACATTGTTATCGTTTTTTGTTTTTAAACCTTTTAAATCGAATTACAATGGTTGGTAAGACTCACAAATGTGGGCAACCAAATTGTTTGTTCTCCGTTGAGGAGGGAATGCAGTGTGACGACTGTAAAAAGTGGTATCACAAAATGTGTACACGACTAAGTCCGACGGCTTACAAAAGATGCTCGAAGCCTAACTCGCATTGGCTTTGTGTGTTCTGCTGTACGGATAAAAAGGTACTAATACAGGAGGCTATGGGCCTATTGGCTTTGACCTGCAAGAAAAACGATGGTGGAAGCACTGATAACAGGAGTACTGACGATGAAGAATGTGTCAGTGTAGTAAGTGCTGCTACTGGACCCATTAAACACCTGACTGCGGTTGACGGGAACGTGAAATCTCCGTTGACATTAACGAGAAATGAAGTGTCGCCTGATATTGACATCGGCAGTCATACACCCCTAGTCGAAATAGAAGATCCGGATAAAACTGTCACCGTTCCACATAGTCCAGGTGTGGCTGTTCTGAGTGGTGACAAATGGACTCCGGTAAGAAGAAAAAAATAAGAAGAAAAAGGCTGTAGGCAAAACACAGCTGGTCAGCAAGACATTGGAAGGGACTTTATCAGAAGAAAAATCCTCACCGCGTGAAAAGATAGATCTCTCTGAGCGATCAGTCATTTTTGATAAGATAAGAGAATCTTCAGACACTGAACCAAAGGCAAGATTTGAACATGATCTCAATCATATTAAGACATCATTAAGTAAACTACTCCCAGATACAGTTTCAGGAATTAGTATTTGTAAGCTTTATAGAAAAGTAAAGAGGTGGATTCCGAAAGTCCTCAGAAAAACCGCCTCCTAAAGGTTACATTCAACACGGTGGAAGAAAGGAACCTGGTTCTAAGTAATCCACGTAAACTGATTTGATCCGGAATATATGTCCGTGAGGACTTCAGCCTAGCTGATCGTATTAAGAGAAGAGCTGCAGAAGCGGAAATAAACGAGCGTCGCCGAAACGGTGAAGGAAACCTCGTTCTTAAGGGTTCTCAGATTGTAAAAGTTCGGAGCAAAACGATCCCCAAGCCACTCTGGGTGGCAAGGGAAAGCTCTCCACAGACTTAAAAGTGTGCTACACAAATGCTCGCAGCCTACTAAATAAAATGGCGGAGCTGAAGTTAGTGGTGGATAAAGAAAAACTGAACGTTATTGCTGTCTCGGAAACTTGGTTAACGTCAGAAGTATTAGATAGTGAAATCCAGTTGATTGGTTTCATAACCAGTAGGGCTGATAGATTAAACCGAAGGGGAGGCGGGGTTATTGTGTACACGAAAAGTACCCTAACCATAAGATTAGCTGAGACAGTAGCACATGTTTCAGGGACATGTGAACTGATGAGATGTAAGTTGAAATGCCGAAGGCTAGATATTGAAGTAGTTGTAGTTTATCGCAGTCCAGAATGTGTAGCAGATGATTTTCTCCTAAGTAAACTTAAGTCCTGGTGTAACAACGGTAAATGCACCATATATAAACTGGGTTAACTTAGAAGTAGGGTCATCTATATCGTCGTTCGACTCCAAACTGTTAGAAACCTCGATTGGACTAGCATTATTCCAACACATTAGAGATCCCACAAGATACAACTTAAGAAACTTTTCTTCTCTTTTAGATTTAGTCTTCACACACGGTGATGACGTTGGTCAAATGGCTTTTCTCCCACCACTTGGGAGAAGTGACCATGCAGTCATCTTATTCAAATTCATGGCTGAGATTGCTTGTCAAGCAGTTGCGCCGGCCCGTCCTAACACACGGAAGGCAGATATGCAGGCAATTAACTCCGCAGCATCGGCTGAGAACTGGGAAATGGACTCAAAGGCATCAGTACAAGAGGCATGGACTCTATTCAGACAGTTATACAATCGGGTAACTCAACCATACATACCCTGGACTGTCCCAAAGAAAAAGAAGCACGGACATCCCTGGATAGGGCGGGATATTTGACGCTTACTAAGACAGAAGAAGAAATGCTAGGATGTTGCCATCCTCCTTGGCACAGCAGGTACGATGGAACGCTACAGATCGATAAGAAACGAGTGTATAACAAAAATTCGGGAAGCTCAAAGAAAATATGAAATGCAGCTGGCACAATCTGCACTCAAGCAGCCCAAGAGGATATTCTCGTACATAAACTACAGAACAAGGACGCATCGTTGGATTCCCAACCTAATTAAAGTAGGAAATGAATCTGAAATGATAGAGGAAGATCAGGAAAAAGCAGAGGTTATGGCTGACTATTTTGGGGCAGTTATCACTCAAGAACCTCCTCTAGAGAAAGAACCAGACCCAATTACAGAGTCAACAAACCAGCTGCTCATCGTGGACTTCGACCAAAACGATGTGCTTAAGGCTCTTAGCACCCTAAATATGGAGAAGTCAACAGGACCAGATGAACTACACCCTAAAATCTTGAGACATATTGCCCAATATATCGCAGCCCCACTGACTGTGATATTCAAAATGTCACTTGACCAAGGTGTGTTACCTATGGACTAGAAGGACGCAATCGTCACTCCCATACATAAAACTGGTCTACGACAAGTTCCATCAAATTACAGACCCGTAAGCCTCACCAGTGTTGTAATTAAAATACTGGAAAGGATAATCAAACGGACCATAACGGCATTTATGGAAACCAATAACTTGCTGAACATGGCACAACATGGTTTTAGAAAGGGTCTATCCTGTACAACGAACCTCCTTATAGCTAGGGAGCTCTGTATTAATGCGCTAGACAACGGAAACTCAGTGGATGTTGTCTACATAGACTTCAGTAAGGCTTTTGACAAGGTGCCAACTAATAGACTGCTATTGAAGTTGGCAAACCTTGGTATTGCCGGACCTCTTTTAAAATGGATTAAGGATTTCCTAGTAGGTCGTAGGCAAAAAGTAAGAATAAATTCCAAGTGCTCCATCTGGAGACCAGTACTTAGTGGAATACCCCAAGGTTCCGTCCTAGGTCCTTTACTTTTTATAATGTACGTTAATGATCTTACAAGTATAGTACAGTCTCCAATGTTATTATACGCTGACGATGTAAAAATTTGGCGAGTAATAACTGGTGACACAGACGCATTTACTCTTCAGGCGGACTAAATAATATGATAAACTGGTCTAAAGAGTGGCTAATGCCTATCAACTCGGAAAAGTGTGTCTACATGCACTTGGGGGATTCAAAGGTTAATACGTACAACATAGGGGATGTGTCATTACCCGTAGTCCGGTCTCATAAGGACCTAGGGGTGACAGTGAGCAATGATCTTAAGACGACGGCCCATTGGCGGGAGATCGCAGTTAAGGGGTTTCGAACCCTCTGGGCTTTAAAAAGGACATTCACTAAGCTTGATACTACCATGTTCACCACATTATACACATCCTTAGTGAGAACTAAGTTAGAGAACTGTGTTCAGGCTGCAAGCCCCTGTTTAAAAGGTGACTCAGACATACTAGAAAAGGTACAGAGGGCAGCTACGCGTGCAATTTCGGAACTCCAGGGTTTATCATACAAAGAGCGGCTCGAAAAACTGAACCTCTTTACTCTGTCCTATCGCAGACTAAGGGGAGATCTAATATTGATGTACAGAATACTGAGAAATGATTTCGGACCTAACTTATTCTCTCTCTTTCTTCCAATTAGATCGGGACACCTCAGAGGACATAGCAGGCGAGTAGAAAAGCCAAGAACGAACAAAATACCCGTGGCATACAGGTTTTCACACCGAGTCATCAATACTTGGAACCTGCTGCCTGAAGCAGTGGTGTCCGCACCTTCAATTGACTCTTTCAAGAGAAGACTGGACACTCACAGAAGCATACTAGAAAAGGAATAACATAGGCCGTAGGCCTTCTGTCCTTACTACACAAATCTGAATCTGAATCTGAAACTCTACCATACATGGACAAACTATAGAATATATACTCATATATAACTGGACAAAATCGTAAATTTGGAGTCTCACATTTATAAGGAGGAGTGGGTGTAGAACAAAAGAAGGATTTAAATCAGCTCGTCACATGCTTACTGAGTTTTGTTTGGATATTCGAAACTGGGGTTACTCTTAATGCGCGGTGATTTCAACATTGCCCTTCGAGGTTAGCGAACAGATTCACGTCAATGCCAAACATAAAGGTGTTTTCTGGCAGCTCAAATCGAGACCTGGCTCAAAAGATAGCCGACCGTATTGGCTGTCGATTAGGCAAAGTTACTTCTAAAAAGTTCAGTAATCAGGAGACAAGGTTAGTAAAGTCCTATATATATATTTCATCAACGACAAGTCTAACAATTGTAAATTTGTAGTGTTGAGGTTGAGGAGTCAGTCCGCGGGGAAGACGTTTATATAATACAAACTGGCGGCGGAGAAGTCAATGACAACCTTATGGAACTACTTATAATGATTAGCGCCTGTAAGATCGCTTCAAGTTCCCGAGTGTCCGCAGTCATCCCCTGTTTCCCATACGCAAGGCAAGACAAAAAGGTGGGTCTGACACTTATTTTAGCTCAATGCCTAAAATTCTTGGTAATTCGTCGGTTATGGAAATGTAAATAAACTGTTTGTGGGAAGAACAGTCACTAAATCTTACTAAGAAATTTTGTGATCATATCCTTCTGAGTAGTTCAACCCTATTAACTTACTGCAGACAAATTATTAGTGCGTCGGTACTAAGCAACCAGATGCGCCATGTTGGAAACTCGTCTGGTGCTTGCATATAGTTTATACCTTTGGAGTACCCGGTGTTACATGGTGAATTCGCATTTATAGTAACAAGTCTCGTATCCACAACTGATGTTAACAAAACAAAAGGGGAGGAAAACCGGTAGGGCTTCAACAAGTCCGAAACATAAAAACTCCACGAAATGGTCGTGTGTAAGCGGCTTCATGCAGTTGTCCTTTGGGCATTGCAGTCACGCTCCTAGGACCACTTCTAACCCGATTTCTTTTTGAGTTACCTCTCGAAGAACACTTCATTAAGATAGGCAATCGGGAAGTGATAACTGCCCTCCTACATGTAACAGCACTCAAGACCACTATTCATAATTAATTCCCCTCTTCAATCAAAACAGATTGATTTATTCACCTTAATCCAGAATCTGTGTAATAACTTCAATTTTAAGTAAAGCTTGGTTGAAACTAGGTGCACAGCGACTAGAAACATTTACTCTCACTGCTGAATCACGATCTACGAAAGTAGAAAACATGAATGTGATGGGGATGTTTTTATCATAAATGTCTTTGTAGCATTGCGTGTGTTTCGTAGAACGACCGGGTAACCAAAGTTGGAGTTAGGCACAAGGTATTTAACAAAGCTCACATCAATAAAGGTGAGCGTCGAAAGGGGAATAACAATTTTAATGGTTCGAAGTTTTTTCGGTTTGCCATCTAATCCAATTCGGCTCTACAACTAACTCAAAGTGTAGTTTCAAACGTCCATTGAAGAGCCCACTTTCAGTGAGTAAGGCTTTTTTTCTACTTTAGTAAAAATTCACTATTTTTATTATTTCAGTCATGTTACGTCATACGCCTGTTTCAAACAGTGAGGAAAACATTCTTTCCAAGTGGCGCTTGTGTATTTGATTTTCAACTAAACAAGATTTTGTTCATAGGTGGTTGAAAATGTCAAGATTATACACAATGTAACGAAGGTGAATATTTGTTACGAATTATATTGATAGATGGCATTAGAAAGTGATGAATCATTCAGTAGCAAGACATAAATTTGCAAGATTATTTTCAGAGACGTTTGCTATATGTAAAATGTCAGCACTGTAACTTTACTTTATGGGAGAGTAGTAAAAAAGTAATATTTTATTTCAGCAAACTTAACCTTTCTGAGACTAATTAGCTACTTTTGTCTTAAAATAGGATAAATCACGCGCTCCTATCTCTGCAAAATTAGTAGCTAATATGCTGTCAGTTGCCGGAGCTGATCATATCATAACGATGGACTTACATGCCAGTCAAATCCAAGGATTTTTCGATATCCCTGTTGATAATTTGTATGCTGAGCCTGCAGTTATCAAATGGGTCAAAACAAATATACCAGAATGGAAAGATTGTTGTATTGTTAGTCCAGATGCTGGTGGCGCTAAAAGGTAGTCTGCGTACATTTACTACTAAACCATGATAAATTTATTTCTATAAACTTAGTCTAACACTCTTTCTAATTGTTGTTAGAGATAGAGAAAACTAGGTGAGTTAATAATGATGTGGTGTAGATATCTAAACAAACCAATCCACTTTACCTTTCAAACTTCTGGTAGACAACAATTTTTAATACCCAATTTCCGATAAAGTTATTGACTGCCTTTTAAAGTGAGATTTAATGGGATAAAGACGGCTGCTTAAAAATAGTGTAATGTATTGATTGGCTTCTCAAACCATTGAAGTTATTAGTAATCTCCAAGTTATGTGTGAAATACTCAGAAACCAGTCTCAATTTCGACTTCACAAATGACTTGGCTGTTCGATTTTATACGAACCACAAATTCCAGACAAGGACTGTCAGTGTATCACCAGTTTCAGCAGTAGTAGGCCTCAATATTGACAAAAGAAATGGTGAGATCCTAAAATACATCACAGAAAACAGCACTCGAAAGCCAGAGCCTGAAGAAGCGAAAGCTTTTACGTACCTTGACGGTATCATTAGTCAATAGAGGGGATCTAGTGCAGACGCAGGGGCACGGATTAGCAGTACAAAGACAGTAAAGGAGATTTAAAACACAAAAGGACTTTCAGCCAACACCAAAGTTAAGATTTGTAATACAAGCATGAAAACAGTTCTATTGTATAGAGCTAAAACTTGGAAAACTACTACAACCACCATAAAAAAAGATACAGGTGTTTACAAACAAAGTATTCCATATCCGTTGACCAGATACTATCAGCATTGGTCTACCATGGTAGAGCCCATACTGGCTTCCAGCTGAGCAGGAACTCACAATAGGATGCTGGAGATGGATAGGACGTGCATTGCGGAAATAACCTAACTTCACCGCGAGGCAAGCCCCAACTTAGAATCCTGGTGGCAAAAGAAAAAGAGAAAAATCAGAGAACATATTGTACCAGGAATTAGAAGCAGACATCAAAAGAATGAAGAGAACTTGGGAACAACTGGAAAGGAGTACCCAAGATAGAAAAAATTGAAGATCTCTGGTTTGTAGCTCATGCTCCACGAGGGGCAACTGGCGTAAATAAGTAAGAAGTCAAGTCTACCTTCTCACAGTCCCCGTAGTGAAAAGTTCATGTCATAACTACCACCAGGAAATCCTATATGTCAACACAAAGAGTTTTCTGCCATAGTTTCGTCAAGTCAAACTATCTACACACAAAAGATCATCTTGAACATATCAGTTCTAAGCTAAATATCTTGAATACAAACACACTCGTATTGTTTCTGTTCTTAGAAGGGATTCATACATGGTGGTCTGAGTAAACAAACACATCTAATAAAATTTCAGTTTATGCTGACAATAATAACATCACTAATATTACAGCATCCTTTAGCAATTTGTTGTCAATGATGTGGTTCATATAGCCTGTTTATAAGTAGGCTAATTGTCACTTTATTTTGGGATTTAAACAACTTTTATATTAGTAAGCCATACCACTGCATAAGTTTTCATATGTGATATATCCAGTTGAAATGACCACCTCTTTTTATTCCACTCAGCTTCAGAGTTAAGAAGGATAAAAACCACTAAGACAAAATGGTTAAAATCTGACAAAGCTCTCCAACTCGATGTTTCTAGGCGTTAACATACGGAATTATCAACACTTCTGATCGTATGCTCCTCGATGTTAGGATTACTTACTGATGCCTACATTTCCGTGGACAGACTAACTCCGCAACTACTTCGAAGTTACCCCTAATTTAAATAAACTGCTATTGCTCCCACTACACACGAACCTAATCTGTCACACCAGACATCTATCCAGGTACTCAGACGTTTTTACTTCTAACCACACTAAAACTAGTGAGTTCTAGCACACATGCGCCCAAAAATACGCATTATTTTTATGGTAGAAATCATTTGTGTTATAACTTGTTGCCTGTGTGCCCTGTTAATGTATAACGTAATGATACAGCCAATTACAGAACAGTGAATTATCGACCGGACCAATGACGCATAAAGCCTGTACGAGCAGCTTAGAGTCCTTATCGGTCCTGCTTACCGCCTAACCCAGCCTGTTAAGTTCAGAACACCAATCTCGGCCTCTGCGATATTAATCATGTATTTCAAACACTGGGTTTATATACCAACTAGACAGACTACATCGTACTATAAAATATGAAACAACATTTGTACAGGATTTAGCCAAATGTGGCTGTGAATGTGAGAGGTAGTAATTAATAAACAGGGTAATTTGCATGTTTATATCAATTATACTGAGGTCAGTAAAGGTCAAAATACTCTGTTCACCAACTGGTAATCTCAGATCCCAGTTTCATCCAATTAATCGATGGCACTGTTTTAGGAATCTTACCCATAAAATCAAATGGCTGACTAAGCTTCTTCCTGGTACCTCAAACAATTAACACTTGAATGGTCATACTAACTTCAAGACCCACCTTTTATTATTTCCTGCCTACATAATTTGTGGGTATTTTATTCAACCGGTTTGATTTTCTCAGTCCACTCTTTTTTATTTTCATTTTATTCTTTGATTCTTTTTCAGAGTAACTTCAATCGCGGATCAGTTAAATGTTGATTTTGCCTTGATTCACAAAGAACGGAAACGTGCAAACGAAGTGGATCGTATGGTTCTTGTTGGAGATGTAAATAACCGTGTCGCTATCCTGGTTGATGATATGGCAGATACATGTGGAACAATATGCACTGCGGCAGACAAGTACACACTTTTATTTTAAATATTTTTCCTGGTAAACTCATCTAATTAATTTATATACGGTGTTACCAGTGTTATGCCTTCGTGATGTGTCCACTTTGTTACACTTAAATCTATTTCCGCCACCACCTTAAGTATTCGTTTTTCATTCTGTGTATATTTCTATGGTATGTAGACTGATCTTTATTTCCTAACTTAAGCGCTTAATGTTCTGTTCATAAATTACAATAATATTAGAGTCACTGAAACCGAACATTGGTTATCTAAAAAGAATTCTTGTTGTCATGGGAATAGAATTCCAGTGAATTTAGAATAATTTAGCGAAATTTCAGTGGTTTGAACACATTCAACAGCAAAAAGGTTGTATTTGGGAACTTTATTTTATTCCTTCTTGATAATACCATCAACTCTGAAACTAGTGTGTTATGACGTGTTTATATACTACGGATTCGATGTTATTATTTTGGTTCATTGAAGTAAGATAATATTGCTTCGAAAACAAAAAAAAGTTAGGCTAAAATAGTTCACAGCAAAAACTGAGTTCTTGTTCTCTCTTTGTTTACTATTGACATCCATGAATGGTTTATCTGGCTGTAACTAAATAAGCTAACTATCATTTGAGGATAATAATATTTATAAAATAAGAATGGTAATTTTGCTGAAAGGTTTGGTGATTAATTATGTGTTCAATCAAGAAGGAAATAATGTACAACACTTCATGTTAACCCAAATTTATGTACTCACTAAAATACTATTTAGCCTGCGGATTGCCCGGTTTTCTTACTTTTGGGGTGTCAGCTTTTTTGCCAAAACAGTCCGAAGTTCAGATACAACTTATCCACTTGAGCACTTCATTAAACAAACTAATACTGTTTTTAGCTGCGTCTACTTAAATGGCACTCGGGATTCTGACCGTTGAGATCAAGACATTCCAATTCATCTGTCATACGTTATTATTACCGATTATTCCAAAGTAGTTGTGGTGGCCTAGTAGTCATCCCTTTTGACTTCTGGTCCTTTGGTTACAGGTTCGAATCCCACGCTATCTACTTCGATTTGGACACCCGGATATTAGTAACCTTCACACCTTAATTGTCACTCAAAGCTAAGTACATAGATTTGTACTAGTTAAATGAGTTTGCAAAACAAAAGGTTTGTAACTACATAGTAAAATACATAGCTGACAATCTTCCTAATTATTTTTTATTAGACGTTTTGTAACGACTCCAACTGCAAGTAGCTAATATGATGCCATATAAGAACGACACAAAAATGACTGTCTTCCGTTTTCGAGTATTTTTTACTTTATTTGAAAATGTGGCAGTTTAAATCATGTGTTCTTGGGAAATTGTGACATTGTAAGCACTAATAGCAGTGTGACTTGAGAATCGCCATACAGATTCCTCCTAAATTAGACTGTTATTGACATTCACTTTATGAAATTCAGCTATACTACTCTCCTCATGAGTGAATACATCCTTTATTATTGATTGCTACTGTTAAACCTTATGTTTTCTGTCTCTTGATATTTATAATATTTGTTGTTTCTAAAATTACAGATTGATTGAAGCTGGCGCTGAGCGTGTTTACGCTATCTGCACTCATGGTATATTTTCAGGCCCAGCTTTGGAGCGAATTAATAAGTCAGCTTTCGAAGCTGTCGTTGTAACAAATACTTTGCCACAAGAAGAAAATATGCGGAAAGCTCCTAAAATTCAGGTAAGGAAATTCTAAAATCAACACTAAGGTATTGGGATTTCAACGAACTAGTTGATTATCTGCATGAATTCCAATGTATTCGTATTGTTTTTTCCTTGGAAGGGTAGACAAATGAGAAATAAAATACCAACAAGTACCGTGTTTTGCTTTGAAATTTCAAGTGCTTAGAAACGTAATACTTTGTAAGCCTTTCTTAATACTGTGCGAATTCACATAATTTGAATTCATAGTTATTCCTTCCAAACAAATTGAAAATGAGAAATTTTATTAGTATAGGATTTCGGAGATCATTAAGTTTTTTAATTGAGATCGTGAACCGATTGGTGTTAGACCACCACTGAAAACCTGGAAGCACTGGACGGCCGTTTCGTCCTATTGTGGGATCCCGGCTCTGTGGTCTAGAGGTTAGGCGTTCGTGCGCGAGACTGAAGGCCCTGGGTTCGAATCCTGCCAGCGGGATCGTGGATGCGCACTGCTGAGGAGTCCCGAAATAAGATAAAACGGCCATCCAGTGCTTCCAGGTTTTCTATGGTGGTCTAACATCAATCGCTTCATGATCTCAGTCAGAAATCTTATCGCAATATTTATACAGTTGAAAAATAGGTAGTGCAAACGTTTGAGCAGTCCATCATTTTATCAAAAGGTTAGGAATACGAACATTCCCATGAATATAAAAAAAGCGACTGATCAACCTAATTAATGTTTGCGTATAAGGATGTAAGTTAAATTTATTTAAAGTTAATGAGTGAACACAAGACAAGTCGAGTTCTTAATCTAATGTCAAAAGTTAAGGTTCAGTAACAGACAAACAATGCAAAGTCTCGCATAGTTGGGGTAGTAGTACTACTACACTACACTTCACTTGAGAACAAAAATGGTGAGATAGAGTAGGTGTCTAATAATAGTGAGACTATACAACTGTTAAAACTCCATGATTAATAGCTTAAATGTGAGGTGACCTTTTGCAATCCTCAATAATTTGTTCTGTTCTATAAAATCGATAATCAATGTAAGGTATAAATTGTCTGAAATCAATCTCTTTTTATTTACGGAAACACTTATTTTTTCTTTTGTTCTTTTCTTCAGTGTATTGATGTAAGCACTATGTTGGCTGAAGCTATCCGTCGAACACATAATGGTGAATCTGTCTCCTATCTATTTAATCATGTCCCTTTGTAACAACAACAATAATAATCCTGAATCAATCACCTCCCAAATGACAAAATAAGTGACAAACTAGAAAAGATTGTTTTCTTTATCACTATCCACTTTATATTTGTATTTTCAGCATGTTAAGATTTTTTTCTTTTGAAAACTTCTATATTTTCTAGTCTTGTTCCATTTAATCTAATGTATTTTGTTCATCGAACTATTCCATATTGAAATATCTTTATTCATCATTAAATGCTTCGAATGTCGTTTGTTTTTGTAACAGAAAATAATTGATTTACCTTTAACGTGATTAGTTTTGATTTGGTTTGGTTTGATTGTTTGTTTTTTATCCTCCTTTTTTCTTTTTAGAGAATCCAATAGTCTTCTTTTAAAGTCTTTTGTAATATATTCTGTTGTTCGTATACGTAATTAGTATTATTACTTGTAATCTGTCGAAAACATAACCCTGTAATCCTGAATAGATCCTCGATTGGAGACAACAAACTATTGTGAACAGCTGACTGAATTGTATTAAGTTTTTGATTGAGATCATAAACCGATTGGTGTTAGACCACCATTGAAAATCTGGAAGCACTGGACGGTCGTTTCATCCTATTGTGGGACTTGACCAGTGGAGCTAATGTATGTCAGGTAGAGACAGGTACCTACCTCAGTACAATGGGAGATGGTCGCGCAATTTTTTGGATTGGCTAAGGTTAGACATTAATACCGTTGGATGCCGGCCATCTTAGTGGTCTAGAGGTTAAGCGTTTGCGTGCGAGACCGAAGGCCCTGGGTTAGAATCCCGTGGGCGAGAGGAGTCTCACAGTGCTTCCAGGTTTTCAATGGTGATCTAACATCAATTGGTTTATGATCTCAATCAAAAACTTAATAATCTCCACAATCCTATACTGATGAATTGTATTAAATTTGAGACTGATGGACAGTAATATGCAAAGGTTTTACTTACCATTAGAAGCACTGTAACATCTATGATTGCTGTCATGTAGCCCAATCCTCTTTAAAAGTGTTCATTCTTGTTGTTTAGCTTTTACATACGTTTTCAAGACAATGGGTTTCTTATGAAGGTTATTTAACTGGCACTAAATATTCCCGATATTTTTCCGGTGAATTTCAGGTCATTTTAAAGTATCTGATCATTTAACCTTTTCGTTCTGATTCCAATTATATTTATGACAGTTGGCCAAAACGTTTTAAGTGAATTCGTATATGCCCATTATAATTTTCAGTGATCATTTAGAAGCTATGTTCAAGTAAATAAGTTTGATCCAACCTTTGAGTATAATAAAAGTAAAATGAGTTTTTAAAAAGCTGCTTCATATAAACTTGAAGCTAGAATTAAGTTTATAGTCAAACTTAGATTAATCATGTTCCCTCATAGCGAAGGAAATCGTTGCCAATCTATCTGAAGTTTGGTGGTGTTTTCCTAATATAGTAGTATTGAAGCCCCCTTGTATCAATATTCGTGTGTTAAAATAAACACATGGGATCACAGCTCTCTGCCCTGGTACGGCCGAGGGTGAGGAGAGTTAGTTCTCTCTCTTGAAGTGCTCTCACATGCCATGCGTATACAGCCACTGTCAGGAAACTCACTGCCTTCTCGCGGCGGGGGCGTTGTTTACGAAATTATGAAGAAGAAAAACGAATATTTTGGGCTTTAACCGGGAGTTGGAAAACCCTGACCCCTAACCAATGGTGTACATGGGCTCTAATAACCTAAAGGAACAAATGGCGTATGAATCGATCGTTGGTCACTGGCTACCATGACGTTGCTCCAATGCCTTGTGGATTAGACTTTTAGGTCGAAGGCTCCGGGTATGGCCCCCTAAGAAAACCACCTGTTTCTGTCTGGGCATGCGGGCAGTATCACAGCCCACACATAAATCGTGTGACTTGTGTGTCACATATGTATTCGGTGCTCCTTTTCTACCAATACTTATATGTTCATATAATAAATAAAAAATATATATATGAAAGTTTGAGCTGATTTCTGTTTTCAGCACAACCATTAACAATCAAAAAGTTAGTCAGGTGAACTGACCGAATCGTTTCTTTGCGAAAAGCCAACTTATTTCATTGAACTGTTATCCTTCATTTACAGAATGAATCAGATGAGAAAACCCAATGCAATAATAAGACCGATTAACTTGTACTCCGATAAGGTTAATTCACACTCGTCAATTATACGCTTGTTATCAGAAGGGGTTTTGTGGAGATATTAGTAATTTTATAGTTGAATTCATGAGTCGTTTGAAGCTAAACCACCATGGAAAACCTGTAAGCAGTGGACGGCCGTTTCGTTCTATTGTGAGACTCCTCTGTGGTGCACATCCACGACCCCGCCCGCGAGATTAAACATTGTATTCCATGAGATAGTAACTTACTGACGACAATGGTGGACGGTAGCTCATTTTCGTTGATTGGTTGAAGTTAGATATTAACATTGTTGGATACCTACTCAGTGGTCCAGAGGTTAGTCGTTTGCACCCGAGACTGGTAAGTCCTGGGTTCGAACCCCGCGGATCGGGATCGTGGATGCGCACTGCTGAGGGGTCCCACAATAGGACAAAAAGGTCGTCCTCGTTTTCCATGGTGGTCTAGCTTCAGTCGACTCACAAATTCAATTATACGATTGTTAGTATTATAGTGAACGAGAACACAAATGAGGACAACCAAATGTAATTGAATTCAAAATTACAGAATATCTTAGTAAAACCTGAGAACCATACAATAAATGCTTCGTTTGTAAAATGTCGATCAAGCGTCTCAGACTCCATTGTTTCTTCATTTCGACACCAATTATTCTCTGTTCTCATTCTCTTTTCTTCGACCTTCTTCCGTCAGACATTTCACTTTCGGTTGGTGATACATACTACTTATATCTGTCAACATCAGTAGTACACCTCTCACAATTAACGATCATTGTTGGACCTTATTCCTATCTTATCTGTCATTATTTTGTGAATATTATAATTGTTTTGAAGTAATATTGTTATTATTGCTAAATGGTAAGTTTTCATTATCTGGAGTTGTTCCTTTCATTTTCTACATATCCTGTTAAATAAATTTCCACTATTCTACAATAAATCCGTTCTTTTGAACTAACATATATATCCATATACATCGTATATTTTACGAAATTGAGAGGACGAAAAGCGAATGTCCGGTGCTTTAACGGAGTTGGTGGTGCTGGAAATCCCTGATTCCAAACCAATTATGCACATGGGCTTCAGTATCCTGAAGAAACAAGTGGCATCTGAACCAATTGTTGGTCACCGACTAACATGGGACTGCATCTCCTGACGTTGCTCCACTCCCTTTTGGATTAGACCTTTAAGTCGAAGGCATCGGGTGTGGCCCCCTAAGAAAACCACCTGGTTCTGTCTGGGCATCCGGACAGTATCCTAGTCCTCACATAAATCGAATGAATTATGTAGCTCATATGTTTTCGATGCTCCTTTGTACCAATATTTATGTGTTTAAATAAATAAAATGAGATATTTAAGATTGTTAACTTTGTCCGTTTATATTAATGGTCGCATTTGTCAATATGTTACAATGTATTTTCTATGAGTAAATTGTAACTTCTACTAGTATCGGATTATTTATTGATTTTATTTCAACAAATAGATATTGGTATAAAGAGGCACCAAATACATATGCGCCACACAAATCTCATTCGATATGTGTGAGGGCTGTGATACTGCCCGGGTGCCCAAACCGAAGCAGGTGGTTTTCTTAGTGGGCCACTCCCCGAGCCTTCGACCTGAAGGTCTGAACCACAAGGCAGTAGAGCATCGTCAGGAGATGCAGTCCAATAGAAGCCGGTGGCCAACAATTGGTTCATACGCCATTTGTTCCCTCAGGATACTGGAGCCCATGTGCACCATTGGTTTGGATTAATAATGCATTCATCTTATAATTTTTGTACACTTATTTTCTTTTTCTTTTTTTTCTCCTGTACATCCATATAACTTTTCAGTGATTTGTTTATATCATGACTGATGAAGAATCAATTGATTTGATTGCTTCAAAAATTCATCTTCTACAAAGATCCCAATTTATTAATCTACCATTGTTACCATTATTACTATTATCGGATTTTAATTCATCATCAATTCAGAATAACTTATCAACCTCTAAAAATTATGCAAATCCTCCTCCTACAAGTTTTACTATGAATAGTAATAAAGATGTGGAGAAAAACAAATCTTCACTAAGAAATTCCAATCATACAAATGATTGGTCTAGATTAAATAATGTGTCTGATACAAAGGTAAGTTGAAATTTATTAGTAACTTATTCTTAAAGTTGATATAGTTTTAGTTAACTTGAATAAGTTGAGTAACTTATGAGGTAATTAATTAATTTGAGAGAGTCGTCGATGAATAACTAGATAACTGAAGAGTAAGCCTTCATCTAATGTAATTTACATATTTTCAAAATGATGAATGATTTATTTCAATCGTCATTTTATGACGTTCTTAAATGAACTTCTTTAACCTCACAAGTCATCATATTTCATTGTCAGTTATGCAATCGAATCTGAACTAAACTAACAGTCATTGTTCGATTGTTGCTCATTTTTCATAATAGAGTTACTCATTTTAGATTCAACCTAACAAATTATTTTGAAGTTACTTGATTGAATATATAACCCTCTGCTAATTAGTGCTTTGTTTTAAGAGTGCAACAAACATACTGAGTGTTCATTGATAGAGGTAAAGCAGAAATGTGTTGATCAGTATGTTTAAAATATGTCCATCTACCATCTTGCAAAGGTGAGTAAAGTAGACGTAGATTAACTATTGGTACATCAAGAAATGTTGTCAGTTCATAAAGTATCTTTTTTTCTTGGAACTGTGTACTCATTTAATATTCAATAAATCTAGCGAAATAACTAAATGAATGAGTATGTTTAGTTAAGATTTATATATGTCAGTGAAAGAAATTATGAATCAGAATCGATAAGAATAACTGAAATGCATTATTTACCAGAAACTCCTCCTGGAGTCCCTCCGGGGGCTACTGCCGGTCCTAAGCCCGGATAAAGGAGGAGGGTTGGGCATGGGGTTAGCCACCCCATCCCGTAGAAAACTAACTTACTAAAAAAACGCTAACCAGAAATTATTTACCAGAATCTGTGTATAATACAAATTCTGTCAATGTAATCTTTCTATGAAACGTTACCATATAAGTCATTTGATAAGATTAGATTTTCTAATTCCAATACCTTGATTAATTCAAATGTGTCGCTTACTATCTTTTTGTAACATAATAGAAAATTACCACCATCAACAAATCACTTGGATTTACTATTTTCTCAGTACTATAAGTTTATGTATCTCGTATCTCCTGTTTTTTTCCTGTTCTTACAGTGTGAAAAATTAGTGTTGTATTTATTGTCGTTGCTTTTTTATTGCACATGGTTCTATGTTACTTTGTATTCTAAGCATTAGACTACTTTCAGAGGTTTGGGCGCTCGAGCAGTATTTCAGCCCTCACATATATCGATTGATTTATGTGAAGCATATGTATTTGGCACCTTCTTGTATCAATGTTTATGTGTTTAAGTAAATAATACTTTCAGCATCGGGTTTAAATACGTTACGATTAGTTCTATGGACCAGAATATACTAGATAGTTCTGTGTAGATGGTTCAGACAACGAGTAAGAAGTCTCATGACCGATACCAAAATCGTACTAAAAAATTCCTCTAGAGGTATCTGAGGTAAAGTAATTCCTAAAAACAGAATGAAGCGTTAGAAATTCCCGGTAAATAAATAACCCAATTTTTAGCTCCGTAGATTTCTGTTTTCTCCAGCACTGTTTTTAAAGTGCAGAGTTGATACAAACAGAAACGGGTCCTCACACTTTGAAGAATCTTTCTTTCGTTTCTGAAGAACTACGTCACTATAATATGTGAAGCCAGGATCTGTTGATCCCAGCTTGTATTCAAAACCACCCGAGTTGATTGTTGTTATGGTAGGCGGTGTTCGAGATCTGATACTGATACGTGTACCCCCGAACTGATTACTCAAGCGAGAAGACAAGAGTGGAAGAAAAAGTGTATTGGGTTACCGAACAAATATGCATAAACATATATATTTCCACCCTTTAAAAAGTCAATACACTTCCTAGCCAATGTTATGTATCTGTCCTTTCAGTCATCTCTCAATGTCATCAAGTGACCCTGTCTGGCTACTTCTGATTGGCTCACTACATAACCTTTCTCTCTTGAAAAATTTAGTCCTCCCTTCGGCGTTGAGGGGAGCAACGTTCAGTTGTCCTTACCTCTGATTCATAATCTGGCTTTCTTCTCTCTGGATACATGGCGTCACGTGAAGTCTGAGTCTCTTTCAAACATTGATATGGCTGGCGATACATCCTTGAGTGGGGCTGTGTACAGGATTATTCCGCGTGGTTTTCTCCATCATTCCCTCCCCCTTGTGATAATTTTGAAAATCACTGGAAACTTCTGCTTCCATTTGTGCATAATATGAAAATAGGAAGATATTTGATTATAAGATCAGATGACTGGTCAGACGTTTTTAAATCTGTGATCCAGTCGAGGCCCAATCAATAGATTGAAAGATTCATCGGTAATCTAACATCTAGATTTGATTATCAGATCATTAATTTTGACTGTACATTTGATAATTCCAGAAATTTCGATTGGGATACCTGATGCATTCTTTATGCAATCATTAATAGGATGGATGCTTGGTCAATAAAGTTTTGCGAGAAATCGAAGCAACATTGAATACAGTATCCAAGTGCAGTGTGATAATTCAATCATTAACATTGATGGACACATAATTGTATAAGCATTTAGGGTTGGGTTTCAATAAAACATGTACAAAATTGATTCTTTTTAACATTCGATGATGTGATGAGGGTTCCCTGCGTTTGTGAAATTCCTCCCTATGACCGGTTACCCCACATTTTGAGCATTAATGATTATTGAATTGGCAGGAACGGGAGAAATGCCATGCCTCACATTTTCAACATCTATTGAGAGGCCATGTAGAGAGACGTGAATTAGAGTCATAGACATTATACATTAGATTCGGGCGAGGAAAACTTCGCAAATCATGCTTTGCGACATTAATAGTGCGATCTGAATGAGAAATTCTCATCAATTCAAGCGAATTGGGATTTAAACACCCTATCATTTTAGTATCATTCTTAAGTTTAATAATATGACAACATGCATTTGTGTTATCTTTCGACGTAAGAATGAAATCTGACTGGACTTTGGTTAATATTTTAGTACGGTTATCTCAATCTGAAGGTGATCGCAATTTGTATACAGCCATAAGGCACTTAAATTCGTCGTCTGAAAGTGTGTATAACCTGAAATTCTCTCATTGATTATTAAGAAATGCTGGTCGGTGGTCTATGCTCCATTGGGAGTAACAGGCGGAAGTAAGTGCATATAAAACAAAATCATCTTCAGATCTCTTAACTGTTTAAAGAGAATTATATCGCAAATTAAAAGAGGAATCGTAGGGTTTTTCGGTTAGATAAAGTTCGAATATTTTTCATGCTCGATTACTCCAAGCTTACGAAATGAGTCATCATGATGAAAAAACTCAACTTGTAAAATATTTTCATAACTATTTGAACCATGATTCAACTGTGACACTAGCATCAGGATCGAAATGAAACTCGCTCATTGAATTGATCAATGATTTGGTAGTTGAACCCCTTAATTCGGATACTTGTACTAAATCTTCTTGAATTGACAACTTTTAAGCCATCACTTCGATCATTTTCAATTGTGATGCTTGAAATTCTGTTTACTACTGCTGCAAAATAGATTTAAACTGATCTGCTGAAATTGACATTCTGATAAAACAAGCTAATCCATAAACTAACCTAAATATTAACCCTGAAATATGTTCTGAAAAGAACTGTCAGTTGACCAATTAATTGACTATCTTGAACAGATGAAGCTCAATCAATATTGAAGCTGCTTATTTATTATTAAACAATTTCTCGTTATTTTTCCATCCATTAAAGGAACGTAGTTTCTTTCGACGTTTACTTATGTCCTATTGGTGTCCTAGACCTATAAATGGAGCTCAAATGTTACTCGAAGAATTAAAATATTCATATTGTTTCTCTACTGGAATTGACAAGTTAGTATTAATTCTTCATAATGTTATACCGCAGCTTTATTTGAACGTTGTAATTGAAATGTGCCGCTATATTTGTTGTATAATTTTAAAAAAGGAACTTATTACATCATAAGAAGGATATTGAAGGTTGTTCATCAATGAAAGGTTTACAGTTAGTGTTACCATACAATCATACTACTATTTATTACACATATTATATATATCGAAAAGATATTATTAATTTCAGAAGGGGTTTTGTAAATGTTATAATAATTTCAATAGTTGAGATCATGAGTCAATTGAAGGTAGACCACCATAGAAAACTTGAAAGTACTGAATGACCGTTTCGTCCTATTGTTGGACTCCTCAGCAGTGCGCATCCACGATCCCGCCTCGCGAGATTCCATGGTGGTCTAGATTCAATTGAGTCATGATCTCAAATATTAAATGCATTATTAATTGTTTGATTTTAAAATCCTTTAGCAGATCAAGAAGCATAGAACCAAGTAAGATGAGATTTATTAATATGTAAAAATTAATACAGTTATTTGTGTCCTCTTGATAAGTATATAAAAGATGGAGGGAGATATTGACAGGTAGATAAGCTGATTATAAGCGGGAGCTAAGACCTTAGTGAATCTTTCAGATTCATTACTATTCATCTCACTATTCCTACATAAATATTGTTGATATTCAGCCACATTTATTTATTTGGACACATAAATATTTGTACAAAGGTGCACCCAATACATATGCGACACACAAGTAAGTTACCTGATTTGTGTGTAGGCTGTGATACTGCCCAGGTGCTCGGACCGAAACAGATGGTTTCCTTAGGGGGCCACACCTGGAGCCTTCGACCTAAAGGTCTCATCCACAAGGCAGTAGAGCAACGTCAGGAGATGCAGTCCCATGATAGCCGGTGACCAATAATTGATTCATACGCCATTTGTTCCTTCAGGATACTGGAGCCCATGTGCACCATTGGTTTGGAATCAGGGTTTTCCAACCCCTCTCGATGGATCCTCCTTATTCATGAATCCGGTAAAATCGCTGGGCATTCGCTTTCCATCCTCTCAGTTTTGTAAGCAACAAGACTTTTCTACAATTTCACTAATGATTGTGTAATCTATCAAATTTCTTACAAGTCTCAATTTATTTATTATCCGACCATTACTGCTGCCTTGATGTGGTGGTGGGGCTTGCTTATCGTGTTGAATATATCAACATCTCTATCCTTTACCCAACGTCTGCGTCAAATCAAGAATATATGATTTCTGAATAGAAGTAATCGTATTATGGCCCATAATAACTTAGTATACTTATGTATTGCTTTGATTTTAGTGATTTTTCTCTAATCTCAATGAATCTTAATCGTCTTCGTTTATGACAAAATAAAAGTTTAGAAGCATTTTATTCTTTAATAATCAAGTATTGATTGTGCATTCATATTTAAAAAAAACCCAGCTTGGACAATCTACTTAATGGAGGTTTAAGAACCAGTGAAATTACAGAAATAATCGGTAAATCTTCTTGTGGGAAAACTCAAGTTAGTTGTGATTGTATGTTTGTATTTGTGTTTTTAAAATATTCCGAATAATAATCCTGTCTAATCATTATTATTTATTTCTTTGAACACATAGATATTGGTAAAAGGGGGCACCAGATACATATACGCCACACAAATCAAATGAAATTTGTGTGGGGGTTGTGATACTGCACGGGTGCCCGGACCGAAGCAGGTGGTTTTCTTAAGGGACCACACCCGGAGCCTTCGACCTAAAGGTCTGATTTACAAGGCAGTAGAGCAACGTCAGGAGATGCAGTCCCATGATAACCGGTGACCAGCGATTGGTTCGGACGCCACTTGTTCCTTCAGGATACTGGAGACCATATGCACCATTGGTTTGGAATCAGGCTTTTTCAACTCCCCTAGGTGGACTCTCCGTGTGCACCGACCCGATTAAAGCGCCGGACTTTCGCTTTTCGTCCTCTCAATTTAATAAACAGCACATCCGCCACGAGAAAGCAGTGAGTAGGGCATCATTAACACAGGCTATATTCACTTGGCCATGTGAAAGCATTTCGAGAGGGAGAGCTGACTCTCCCCACTCTCGACCGTACCAGGGCGTTTGGGTCATCGTCTCTCGGTGTTTCTGAATGGCACCAACCAAAGAGACTGCTCGTAAATCAACCGGAGGTGCTGCCCCTCGAAAACAGCTGGTCACCAAGGCTGCACGCAAAAGTGCCCCAGCTACCGGGGGCGTGAAAAAGCCACACAGGTACAGACCTGGGACCGTTGTCCCCCGAGAAATCCGTCGTTACCAGAAGAGTATCCTGTCTACAGCACTTAACTTCTTAATTCGAGAATAGGCAAATAATCTTGACTAGCATACTATATTGTTTGACAAGATAAAGGATTTAGTTTTGTTTAACTGTGGAATTTTTAATATATTTTGTTTTGTTTTGAAATTATTATTTGACTATTATCACTCCTAGGATTAGTCACTTTAAATGCTATATCATAACTTGTCATGAAATGATAACTTACTTGCGCCTGTTACTCCCAATGGAGCATAGGCCGCTGACCACTATTCTCCAACCTTTTATGTCCTGGACCTTTCTTTCTAGTTCTATCCATTTGTTGTTCACTCTTTTTGTGAACATAAAGAAAGTCATTACCCACCGAATCGTACGCCTCAGCCCAAGAATAAGCGTGAACGTCCTCGACGCACCAGATCCTACGAATCTGCTCAAAGGGGAGGTGTTAGCGGGACATAGATTGGGTTGAAGCATGCTCATTGCACGATTGCTTTGGTACACACTGACTGGCTAATTCTTATCCAATCAGCGCTAGTCGATACCTGGAGAACACTCTAGAATCCTCCTCATGTAAAAACTATGAATATACTAACGTTTTTCCTACTGTGCTTCTTACTTCCATCTACCCTTGTTATTTGGAATATAATTACTTTCCTGTTTAACCGTGTTCTGATTTGGGGACTTGCCGAGTGAATTGGTGTCCGAGAATACTAAGCAATAGGAATAGCTGGGTTGTAATAAGAGAGAATTATAACACTTTTCATGTTTGTTTCCGTTTCTCGGCGTAATGTGTTCTTTGGTATTCCTCTTCTCGTTTGACCTTGAGGATTCCAAGCGAGGGCTTGCCTTGTGACGTAGTTGGATGCTTTCTTCAATGTACGTTCTATTCACTTCCAGCGCTTCCTTCCGATTTCTTCCTCTGCTGGAATCTGGTTTGTTCTCTCTCACAGTAGGTTGTCGCTGATATAGAGTATCTGGCCTACGGATCCGAAGTATTTTGCGTGGGCAACTGTTAATAAACACTTGTATCTTCTAGATGATGGTTTTCATAGTTCTCCAATTTTCCACCCCATACAGTAGAACTGTTTTGACATTTGTACATTTGCACGCGATTGAAATTTCCATCAGATTTGGAAAGTAATTTTAAGGAAATATGCTTTAAAGCAGGTTTTTCAACAAAAATATATGTAACACTGAATAGGGTATAGCAGCTCACGTGCAATTGAGTTTGTTCATATTTCATTTAGTTAAGCCCTTTATTTAATTTATTTAACTGACAGAGTCATTCTTAAAAATAAAAACTTGTCTATACTGTTATAATTCTTATTACAACCCAGCTATTCCTATTGCTTAGTAATCTCGGACACCAATTCACTCGGCAAGTCCCCAAATCAGAACACGGTTAAACAGGAAAGTAATTATATTCCAAATAACAAGGGTAGATGGAAGTAAGAAGCATAGTAGGAAAAACGTTAGTATATTCATAGTTTTTACATGAGGAGGATTCTAGAGTGTTCTCCAGGTATCGACTAGCGCTGATTGGTTAAGAAACAATCAATCAGCCTACACCAACATGCTTTTTTCCAATCTATGTCACGCTAACATATAACATTGTACTTTTATTATTGTTGAACTTGTATGAATATGTATGCTCGAGCATTGCTTACTGCTTACGGATATATTCATTCTGCTAACCTTACTTGAGTCAAGTAAGGTATGTATATGTACATTTTAATCATGTTCATTGACTCGCTTGTCCGCTTGATTTTCGGCACTACTCTTTCATGCTTGCTTAGCGTACCTGTAATTTTGGTGATCAGTGCGTAGTGCAATAATAAACTTAATCAACACTTCGTATTTGCCTTCTGATTATTACACTGTTGGGTTGTTATCTAGTGAAGGTTATCAGGACGAACTGTATACGAAGTCTAAGGATTATATTGAATACTGACCACCACTACAATCGATTTTAATGAAAATAAAATTGAAGCGTATTGGCATTAAATTCCAACCTAGTAAGATTTGAGTTGACAAACTCACTACGTAAAGTTGTGTAAATGACTACTGCAAGCTAAAAGTTACTGGACAACTAGTTCTTCCTAGTTAGTGTCTTTTCACCCATGTGCATATCTGCTCAAGATAATAACTTCTAGTCTCATTATCAAATCCAAGTATCCTGGCTGGTTAACGAAGATACAATGAAGTTATAAAACAGACATAACTGCAAATTCAAATTGATTGTTTACTATTCACAACAAATCCTAGAAATAAAACTCATTACAAATCTGTGAAGTGACATTCATTTCAAGTCTATTAACTAATACCGAAATCCAGAGATTTGAACGACACCAGCATTTCGAAATGTTAATGTAACAATTAATTCAGAACGTCTGTTAGAAAGAGGTCAAATGTAATAAGAATTGTTTGTAAAGACTTATTTATTTCATTCTTTTATCCTAATACTTACGTCCCCAAGTAATAATAGTAATCAGATGTTTAAAGTACCTACCATGGAAATTGGCATATTGGCGTTGTGAAATATTTTTATTTTATTTTATTTTATTTGAACGTATATATATTGGTACAGGAGTGCGCCAAACATATATGCGCCACACAATTTCAGTTCATTAATTGCGTGTGGGCTGCGTTACTGCCCGGGTGCCCAGACCGAAGCAGGTGGTTCTCTTAGGGGGCCACACCCCGAGCCTTCGACCTGAAGGTCTGAACCACAAGGCAGTAGAGCATCGTCAGGAGATGCAGTCCAATAGAAGCCGGTGGCCAACAATTGGTTCATACGCCATTTGTTCCCGCAGGATACTGGAGCCCATGTGCACCATTTGTTTGGAATCCGGTTAAAGCGCCGGACATTCGCTTTTCGTCCTCTCATTTTCGTAAACAACACCCCCGCCACGAGAAGGCAGTGAGTAGGACTTCCCTGGCAGAGGCTGTATACGCGCGGCCGTGTGAGAGTATTTCGAGAGGAAGGGCGAACCCACCCCGCTCTCGGCCATATCAGGGCGTTTGGGGGCGTTGTGAAATATGGATTTCTGATGAATGTTATGATGATGATACAGTAGTTAGTTTATTGTTTTTTACTCACCTTTATTATCGTTAGAATAATTGTTTCTAAGGGTATCTGTTGAGAACAAACCTGCTAGGCATTTCAGGTGAATTGATTAGACAGTCAATAAGTTATTTTTCTGCAATTTATTACAGCTCATCGGTTATATGTTCACCTATTAACTACTTGGTCACTAAATCCTACCTATTTTAATTAGCTGAAAAGAAAGTTTTTTGCAGCTTTAAGTACAGTCTCAAAATGATAGCTTTTCTAACAACTATTCAATTATACTGTATGTTGGTCTCGAACTGTTTATCTTATCGTTGTTTTTGTCTGTTTTATTTCAGTTCTGCCTTTCTGTATGTGCTTCTGTACTTCGAAATTATAAAACTGTGTCCATCATCTATTTGGATACGAAGGGTGATTTTATTGCAGATAGATTACTAGAATATCTTAAAAAGCAAAATCTCAAACACGCTAATGTGCCGACGAATGCAGCAACAAAAGATGAATATGGAACTTCCAATGTTCCAAACCATGTGAGTTTTCATGAAACTAATTTTAAAAAATTAGTCCTATGATGAATTTAGATAATGCAATGAGAAGATTAAGGTTATCAGTACTATATGACCTTTTTAACTAAAGACTAAAAAATGTGTGTCTTTATATCCAGTGCGTGGATGATAGCACAGTCTTAAGTGACGTACATGAAGATGTGAACTCCCTGTTAGTGAAACAATACAATTCGAATGCATATCAGCCTTGGTGCTTGTTACTGTCGCCGTACTGACCAAACGATATGTACGCTAATGAAATCCTGTGCATTTCGTATATGTTCTGTTGACAAATGACGTTGATACAACGAAGATAATAAAAGTCAAACATCAGCTGTATTTAGAATACGTATATTTAAGACACGCTTATACTGAACAGTAAATAAAAAGTACAGCGATTGTATAAAGCCTTAAAGCTCGGGAATACGCTAAATTCACGAATAAATGGATGACTATAAATTATTTAGGAAGTACAGGAAGTGTATAGATCCATACCTACTATCATTCACACAAGGTTATACGTGAGGGATTGGCAAAGTTGAGCATATGACTGACATAATGACTGAAAGAATCAGAATAATTTGTTTGTTCATAAGCTAAAACAAATCATTTAGGCGTTATAACACGAAAAATCCTACATAATCTTTCATCTTAGGAGGAGATTAATAACCACTAAGCTCATCATCTTGGATATATTAATTAATAGAAGAGACAATAGCTCCACCAAATATTCTATTCATAGAAAGCCTATATGGATAGGACTGTATGTAAGCTTTTATAATTGCTGTCCAGTCCAATACAAACAGAGGTTGATAAAGTATTTCGACCATATTTGCCCTAGGGATACTATTGAGGAAGAACTGAAGCTTCTCATCAAAATATGTAAATGAATACACACTAAGGCTCATTAATTGTTGGAGGGGAGCAGCAATATGATTGAACTCACTACGCCTTTAGCACTCAATAAACGTGTCTATATTACCTCATTATTCAATGGTGACTCAAATAGTCTTATGTTAAAACGAAGACTTCAATTAATGATCAGCAAAACTTTTCACTCTAACTCACTCTATCATTATCTAAAAGTCAAGGTCTACGCTTTACCAAAATCCTAGACAGTATGTAAATGAGTATGTTATACCCCACTGTTTCTATGTATACACATAAACATAAGGACAAAGAATCGTGATCTACATGTAAGTGTGGTCGATCCTATACCTAAATGGCTACCAAAGCAATCAAATTATAATTGTCTAATTAGACCACAAAATAAAGTCATAAGGTTTCTATCAATTCAACCTTCCTAGTGTTGTATAAGAGTTTCCAGGGATGTATATTAATGTTTGTTGTATATTTAGCCATATGACGATACCAATCGCCTTTATGTGTTTTAAAACAATTCTCACCTTGAACGTAGACTGAACTTCCTACCTAGTGTAATGTGATTCACAATATTTCTCTTATGTACCGATTAGATTTGAGACACTGAAGCTCACCATCGATAAAATAGTCAACTTCTTTAAAATTTGATAACAAAGGGTGGCTGCTATCTTGACATTTTGGTCGGGCTTGTGTATCGTGTTGACCCAACCGAGCTATATTGGCTGGAACATATGTTCCTGCAGGTACTACCATGCCAGGCAGGTCGATTGGAGAACGGTAGCACTATAAGCAGCAACTCATGTCATACGCTGACCACCTCTCCGCTTTTTCCAGCCAGTCCCAGAGTCGGCAAATAATGCACGACGTGGGATTCTCTGGGACGACATTCGTAGGACATGTCCAAGACACCGAAGTCGATGTTTCATGATGGTGACATTAATTGGATTATCGTCTTTGTGCCCGAACACACGATGCCGAACCTCTGCATTACTAACATGGTGTTGCCACTGAATGTCAGCAATCCTTCAGAGACAACGATGATCAAACACAGAGAGTCGTCTAACGTCCTCAACTCGGAGAGGCCAGGTTTCACAGGCATAGAGCAAAACTGCTCTCACTGACGCGTTGTAAATCCGAGCTTTCACAGCCAGACTAACATCACGGAGGCGCCAAAGATGGCCCAGATTGGCATAAGCCGCTCTGGCTTTCACTATTCGTGCATTGATCTCATCACTCACCCCCCACCAGCACTTATGCAGCTACCCAGATACACGAACTTCTCGACTACTTCTATCTGATCACCATCCAGGGTGAGTACAGGATTAGAATCCTGCCAGTCTTGTAGAAGTACTTTGCACTTCGAAGGTGCAAAGCACATGCCGTACCTACGGACACTGATTGCCAACTGATTAAGTGCGGATTGCATGGCTTGGGCATTACCACACAGTAAGACAATATCGTCCGCATACTCAAGGTCGAGAAGTCTTTCTCCAGGCAATAGATCCACACCGCGATTACTTACATCCATCAGAGTTGTTTCCAGAATGTCGTCGATGGCAAAGTTGAAGAGGAATGGTGAGATTGGGCAACCCTGTCTGACCTGACTGCTTGAATGGAACAATGGAGAGAGGTGGTTGTATGCGCTCACTCTGCCTGAGGTGTTTGTATATAGGGCCTTTAAGATGTTAATGAAGTTCTCAGGCACACCCTTCTTCGATAGACAATCCCAGTGAACAGTCCTATCCAACGGTGAAGATATAATCAATACATCCCCGACCGAAACGAAAACCAGCCTGCTCCTCGCGAGTCAATCATTCTCGGGTTTTGAACAACCTTTGAAGTATGACGGAAGCCAATAGCTTGGACGCAATCAGAAGTAGACTTATCCCCCGATAGTTGTTACAGGAACGACGTGAACCCTTTTTAAAGATAGGGGCAACTATCGACTCATTCCATGATGTTGAAACACTCTCTAACTCCCAAACATTTGTAAACAACGTCGTCAATTCCTTAGTCAGAAAGTCACCACCATCTTTAAAAAGAGCTGGAGGTAAGTAATCTGGACCAGGCGATTTGTAGCGCTTTAAGAGTTGGAGTTCCTTTCGGAATTCCACGTCATTTGGTGGATCAGTCGTCACCGGCCATGAAGGGCAGGACAGTCTGAATGATGTTGCCGGAGCAACAGACCAGTCGCACTGCCCTTCGAAGAATTCTGCCCGTCATCTTCACGGGTTGTTTGGCTCACACCAAACTTCTTGCTGCCAGTGGCTCGGATGAGTTGAAAGAGCTTCCGGCAGTTACCAGATGCAACTGCTGCTTCCAACTCATTGGCACACTCCGACCACCAGGCTTCTTGGTTCTTACGTAAGTTTTGCACAATTTCATTGTGTAACAGTATTCATTTGTAAACAAACTCGTGGTCACCTAGAGTAGGCCGACTGGCTTCAATATCCTGTAAGGAGCCTAAAAAAACCTAGTGTTTGTAAGCGGTATGTTTCGCGAAACCACAAGCGACTTTACTCACCACTTCCATAGCGTCATGTGATTGCAACCAATTCTCAAATATACTTTTCGGTGGAATGGTAGCTAGCCTTGAACCTAGCCCACTTTGATATTTAGTTGTAACAGAAGCTGAAAAAAATTACCGATATCGATCCGTATAGGACGAAGGTAAGATTACCATAAACAAGGGCATGGTCAGAGTACAGATAGGTACTCCAAAAGGAGCAGTAGTCCTGCACCAGCCCAGACGTTTAGAACGATGTGTAGAACACTTTAAGTAGCAGTTCAGCTGGCCTTCAGCTACAACTACCCACCATGCCCAAATAGCCTGAATGGAACATTGAAGTAGGTTGGGGATGGAAGAAAGTCAGGGGCGGCCGAACTAAAACGTGGTATCAGTTCTCGAAGTCACTAACTTCTAGTCTGAACCATGCTGGTAGATACAGACTACTTGGTTGGGGTCCGCGTAACTATCGTAACCAACGGTTGGAGACTCTTGGTGACATGGCTCAGAATCGATCACAATGGCGTAGATGTAAACATTCTTTGTCTGTTCTTAAACAGTGAGATTAAAATAGCTTTATACCTTTCTTCCTACGAACTAATTCTTCCTTCCTGTACGATATCCTTATACACAATATTTATTATATATTTTACCATCATTGAATTAACTACTTCTATGAATCCGGTCTTCATCTTGTAGTGCTAATGAGGTGTGGCAACTTGGACCGACGCATAAATGTGCCTGGTCCTACATTGCAACTGACAGACTGATTGCAGTTGTGTACACAACCACACCAACGATAGCTGATCGCGATGTGATCAATCTGAGTCCAGGCTTGAGATGCAGAGGGAGGACGCCAGGTGGCACATCGGCGATGACTGTGCCGAAAGTTAGTGCTAGCCAGAAACAGGTTGTGGTCTGTGCACAGTTGCAGTAGGCGGTCCCTGTTATCTGTCCTGCGACCAACAAGTCCCCATCGGCCATCTAAACGATTCCCTTCTGTGTCTAGACTCCTGACCTGAGCATTCAAGTTTCCGGCTAGTCCTACAATATCTGTCGAACGCACTTTCTGGAGAAGAAAAGTTTACCGGTGGCAGAATTCATCCTTGATTGCATCCGGGCTGCAATCTGTCGGGACATAGGCGGAGATGACGAAAAGACATGGTTTCTCACGCCGATTTCTTCTCAATTTGATGGAACTGTAATCTAACAGCACATAACCGACTGTTAATGAGGATCCAATCAATTAGTGCTGCCTCAGCTCTAGCGCTTAGTGAGACACCAACGCCAGCAAGACCAGACGAAGATGCCACAGGGTCCCCGGATAAACTCACGTAAAACAAGCTTTTTGAAGCGACAGATGGCGAGCGAATTTGTAGTACTTCACCAGAGTCTTGAATACGGGTCTCAGATAGACAACAAACGTCGATATTAAGACTTTCCAAAGACATAGACAGCCTTATCTGTTGTCCGACCTGCATAAGTGTGCGAACTTTGTAGGCAGACAGTTTTGATGGTGCATGTGGTTTCAAAAAATCTGCTTCAGTATTCGTATTTGGTGGTAGCATACAATTCTCAACCAGTCAGTGACTCGAGAACGTTTAGATAAAACCGAGTTTCCACCATAGGCGAGCTGCTGTATAAGTCGAAAAATAAGGATACATACAGTGGGAATAAAAAAGAGTGAATAAATGACGTAGTAAATAATAATAATAATAATAATAATAATAATAATAATAATAATAATAATAATAATAATAATGTGAATTGTATGACTAAATCGAAGCGAGAATAGAATTTTCAGTAAATATAGCCATTTTCATTTTATTTGTGTGTGGGCTGTGATACTGCCCGCGTGCTCAGACCGAGGCGAGTGGTTTTCTTAGGGGGTCACACCCCGAGCCATTGATCTAAACGTCTGACCCACAAGGCAGTGAAGCATCGTGAGGATTTTATTATTATTATTATAAATTTAATTAGTACTGATTCTACTTTACTATCGCATAATGAATTCATACAATAATTTGACTATACTATATAACTTAAATTGTAATAATAATAGCATTTCTCTTTCATCTTATTTTACAATTTCGAATGACCTATAAACTGATTCAAATTATCATTATACACTATTCAGTTTAATAAATTCTAGTTAATTTTATCAACTATCTTAAATTGGTATACTGTAATGTTTAAAAGGCTTGTTAGCCTTAAATATGATTATCGTTTTAGAATATGTTGTATTACATTTTATACAATTATATAAAGTCCCATATATAATTGAAGAATTTTCTAGAGTGAATTGATGTTTATTTGTATTGGAAGGGGTTTTTTGTGTGGATATTATAGTAATTTTAATAGTTGAGATCATGAGTCAATTGAAGGTAGACCACCATAGAAAACCTGGAAGAACTGGACGACCGTTTCGTCTTATTGCGGGACTCCCCACCACTGCGCATCCACAATCCCACCTCGTGAGATTCGAACTCAGGACCTGTCGATCTCGCTCGCGAACACTTACACTCTAGACCTGTGAGATGGTGGGCATCCAACTGTGTTAATGTCTAACTTCAACTGATCCATGAAATTGAGCGACACATCCACCATTGTCATCAGTGAGTTACCATCTCACAACAGACCCGGTTGAACTTCACTGGTCACTGCTTCTCACTAGAACTCTAGGAAATAATTTTTGAAGTCAATCACTAGTGAGCATATGTTGATTAGTATCAGAAGGGGTTTTGTGGATATTATAATAACTAATAGATGAAATCATGAGCCAATTGAAGTTGGACAACCACGGGTGATATTTATGCGAATATCCACATCTATTGAAATACAGTATTCATCTAGACGATTTCTGTATAGTTGTGTAAATATGTTCGTCATTCTACGGATTTATATTTTCAGCTAGTATTCAAATGTTGTCTGCTCCCCATCATAGTTAGTGGTGTCACCATACGTAAATACCGCTCCAAGCATATGTACAATCATTCACTTGGGATATAAACACTTATTCTACTTTTATTTGCAGTCTCATATGTACCGGGATTCTGGAGTTACTATTTGTCGTGACCATTTCAGATTGACTGTTTACTAGAATCCAGTCAGGAATTCCACATTCTACTCTGGAACTCAATGCTATGGTCACACATCTCAAACGAGATGAAGTTACTGAGAAATTTCAGATACATAAAGAGTTAGGTGTTCTGGTTCCTCATACTTGTTAAACGAGATCATATGAATTGCCATACATATGTGCTGTTTTCTGACTTCACTTACACAGAATATATCTATGTTTAGGAACTCCATAGTCATGACCCATGAAGTATATATATCCAATTCCTTCATCGAATACAAATCAGCTATGTCGTAATTGTGTGATTTCTTAATTCATCCGTGTTTAGGATGTTTAAGGACATTCGGTTCAACCGTATATCTTGATCTTTCACAATTGATTGATCACTGAGTGGTGATCAATGTCATGCGTGTCTAGTCCTTATTAGTGCAGATAGAATGCTATCGATCATGTCGCAGTGTGGCCACCAGTCTAGGTGACTCGACACTGCTGACGAGTGCCAAATAGCACGAAACCCGGGTCCAGGGTTTCCTGTTGACTACCTCCAACCACCATCTAAATCTTGATCTTTCAGAAGAATGAATCATTGTTTACGAGTTTATCGATCATTTTAAATCCCTTTTAGATTATTACACCGTGTTTTTCACATCGAATATTTCGGAATTGATTTCATTCTTTACATTCTTTTACATAATAATAATGTAATGAAGATGCATAAATCACATTTCAAAGCACAATATCCGTATATAGGTCACACTCATATGTAATAGAATATGTCTAGAAATCTATATACTGATCCATTCATAACATTCCTTCAAAATTCTGATATTATTAAAGTGAAAATATTGTCTATAATGTTGACCTAAATTGTTAAGCACACATAAATATTTGGAAGAAAAAAAGGTATATAACTTAATTATATAAAAAATATCAAGTGAATTAAAACTTCACCCCATTTCACATGCAAATGGCTATCAGGACTCAGTAGCTAAAAGGGTAACGCGATGGCGTTTGAATTGAACGTTAGCGGGTTCGAGTTCCAGAGTGAACATCAACTTTGGGTTGCAGGTACATCCAGCTGGCGAGTCTGAAATAAGACGAAACGCGCGTCAAACTGCATTCCACTGCTAGTCACTATCCATCTTTGCTTAGAATGCTTTTGAATTAAGGCAATACGCACAGTATCCACATATACCAATAAGAGACTGATCAATTGCAGTGCTAAACATCAATGGGAAGTAAACAATACCAAGCGAATGTATCTAAACAAATGAAAAGTAGATATCATAATATTAAAAAGAATATTATCAAATATGTAGGTAAATCGGATCAAACACTTCTATGATGTAAGTAATTGAACTGTTTACCATCTAATTAATTGCATTTCTCCTAAATGATAAACCTTTTTGGTATTATCTCCATCAACTGCTTAACTGTCACATTCAAGAAATCTTCAATTTAGTACAATGCACTACGATTAAAACGTTAATTGTAGGTTAGTTTACGTCATCTATAGGTTTGCAAACTGTTTCAGTGTTTCGGGAAGTTATACAACTGTTATGAAGAAGATTTTCATCTCGATATTTCCCTATCACTTACGATACATTGTCGCAATGTGTTCTATTCAAAATTGTTTCAAACGAGTAAATCAGTTGACTGAAGACATACTACTCGGATACTATTAATTAGGTCATGTCATGCGGCAAATATTCCTGTGAATCAGCTACATATGATACATGTCAGTTCTATCTGCTTTCCTTATTTTAGATCGTCTGTCATCTATTCCTGTAGAGAAAACTATTTCATTGATTGAGTTTACGGATCTACTCTCCTAGCTGAAGATTTGCTCATCGTTTTTCAATATTTCAACCATAAATTCACTTGGTTTTGTTTTACCTGAATATTCCCATTCATGTTTAGAACTGTAATTGATTAGTCTCTTATTAGGATATATGCACCCTATGCGGATTGCCTCGATATAGCCTTAATTCACAGGCTTTTTAAGCAGAGATGGATTGTGGCTAGCAGTGGAGTGCAGTTTGACGCGCGTTTCGTCTTATTTCAGACTCGTCAACTGGATATACCTGCATCCCAAAGTTGATGTTCACTCCGGGACTCGAACCCGCTAACGTTCGCTTCAAACACCACCGCGTTACCCTTTTAGCTACTGAGTTCTGATCGTCACCTGCTTGTGCGATGGGTGAAGTTAAATCCACTTGGTGTTGTTTTAATTGTATCTTCCCATTGTTATTTAAAACTAATTGATCAGTCTCATGTTGGCATATGTGCATCCTGTGCAGGTTGCCTCGATAATGCTTTAAATCACAAGCTTTTTAAGCAATGATGGATAGTGACTAGCAGTGGAATTCAGGCCATGCATTTCGTCCTATTTGGGGCTCGTCAGCCGCATGTACCTGCATCCCAAAGTTGATGTTCACTCTGGGACTCGAACCCAGTACCGTTTGCTTCAATCATATTTTGAGTGATAAGTGAAGAAGAGTTACTTCTTTGTATATCGGGCATTCCAGTATGAAGTTATTCATTCATAAACTACTTCATCTCTTACCTAGACTTGATAAACATAAATTATTTCCAATTCTCATGCATAAAATGTTTCTCAAAAATAAATAGATTGAAACTTTCTTTGCAATAATATGTTACATCAACCATAATATTTGATTATACTTGTTCATGTTTATCTTCAATCCCTTTCCATTTTCCATGTGTATTTCTACTTCTTTATTCTCAATTCGATTTAGGATATCAAACAATGTCTCACTAGGATTCGTTGTTGTTTAGTACCAACATTTGGCCATCTCATTGATTCACTAATAACCATACGAATGCATATAGATAAATCACAACGTCATCTACATAGTTTATCCACTCCTACTGAAGAATTTTTCTCAAATTGTAAACTTATTATTATAGATAGTTTAACAATGCCATTTTTATCGTGTATGTCCACTTTACCACAATTGGGTAAGTTATTTCTTTGTAGACTTATATGTATGGTAGTATTGTCATTCGATGAATTTAAGAGATAAATTGTAATATTATTTCCAAATTATGTATTACTTAAGATGGTTTTCATTCCTATCTAATCTAATATTCGGTTAATCGAAATAAGTCTCATTTATTTTCCTCAGTGTTGTTAGTTACTCTAAAAGCCATATAACACTGTATTAATGTAGTATAATTGTTTACCCTTTTCTTGTCTTAGACTATCGATTCTGTCAGTATAGGTTTATGGAGATTATTAATTTATTGGTTGAGATCTTGAATCGATTGATGTTAGACCACCATTGAAAACCTGGAAGCACTGGACGGCCGTTCCGTCCTATTGTGGGAATCTTCCCGCTTACGAGATTCGAACGCAGGTCCTTCAGTCTGGTGCGCGAACTCTTAACCTATTAGACCACTGAGCTGGTATCCAACGGTGTTAATTTCTAGTCTCAACCTTTACACGAAATCGCTCGATCATCTTCTATTGTACTAAAGTAGATACCTGTCTCTACCCGACACGGATTGGCTCCATTGGTCACTGCTTCTCACTAGAACTCCGAGAAGTCCCTGGGTTCGAATCCCGCGAGCGGGATTGTGGATGCACATTGTTGAAGACTCCCATGATATGACAAATCGGCCGTTCAGCGCTTCCAGGTGTTCTATGATGGTCTAACATCGATCGGTTCAAGATCTCAGTCAATATCGATTCTATGTTGTATTTCGTTGTATATGTTATATAATTCCTTAAAGCATTAGTGTTTATTCCCAATCAACTTGGACCTCAGAAGCTGTAACTTTGTTTTCATTGCTTCAATTCTCGATCTCGTAGCAAGTTTTCTCGTGAGTGAAAAGTATCTCCTAGTTTATACTATAGTCCGACATTTTAAAGTAATATGAGTAACTAGTTATTCATGTTCAATATTTCTTCATCTTACATCAAGGTTTGGTAAAGCCGTTAATTCATAGTTAGACGGTTAGTATAGGTTTGTGAAGATTGTTGAACATCAAACTTAAGAATCGACCGACGTAAGACAATCATTGAAAACGTGGAAGCACAGGAAGAGCGTTTTGTTCTAGTACGGGATTTCTTAGAAGTGAACATACCTTCAGTTTTGCGCGCGATTGCTTAATCTCTTGACAACTGAACTGTAATCGGATGGTGTACAAGTTTAATTTCAATCAGTCCACGATAGTGCAAAATCGTTTTTAAAGTCTTCTTGGGGAGGTACTCTTAGCACACCCAAGACGGTTTCTGCTGGGGATTCCCTTGATAGGATGAAGCTTCCGTTCTATGCTTCAAGCTTTTCAATATTTGTGTAGCTGTGATCGGTTCGTGGCATCAATGAATTAGTTAAATCGTCATACTGCAATATGAGTTACACAATTTATGTTGCGGATATCTAAGCTATTTAACAAATCACTAATGAACATCTGATAAGTCTTCTAATTGAACGCTAAATTCGGTTCCTTAGCTTTCCTAATAACCCCCAGGCTATATCTACACAGCAACTTGAACACGAGAGAAAAGGCGCGAAACATGGAGGGATTGGTTTACTCCAAAGTTCCTTTATGTTCAGGAAATCTAGTGTTTTTGTAGTATTTTAAATGGCTTCGTGTTTCTGAAAAATTCGGGAACGCTACGCAGTATAGGTAATCAATCAATCAATCAAGAACTCGATATGTAACTTTTCACTTTCTAGATATTTCTGGCAAAACTTCTAGTGAATGCTGATTAGCTAAAATGTTTCTCAGTGTTTTTCAGGGCCTTTTTTTAACTTTTTTTCGCGGAATTTTCTGGTTCTCCCAGACACATCCAATTGCTATATTGTTTACTTCACTTACTGTTTAACGTAACTGTTTCGTCCATATTTAATATGACAGATACATTCCAATCAATAACCGGAGTCAGACAAGGTTGTCTACTGTCCCCCTTCCTATTTCTTCTGGTGGTCGACTGGATTATGAAGACATTGACATCTGAGGGAAAACACGGCATACAATGGACAGCTCAATACCAATTAGACGATTTGGACTTCACAAATGACCTATCCCTTCTATCGCATGCACACGAACAAATGCAGATAAAGATAGCCAGTTTAGCAGAAGTCTCTGCATCAGTAAACCACAACATACACAAGGGCAAAACGAAGGTCCTCAAATACAACACGGAGAACACCAACCCAATCACGCTTGATGGCGAAGCTCTGGAGGATATGGAATCCTTCACGTACCTAGGAAGCATCATCGATGAACAAGGAGGATCAGATGCAGAATCGGCAAAGCAAGGGTCGCATTCCTACAATTTAATAACATATGGAACTCAAAACAACTTTCAACCAATATCATAGTGAGAATCTTCAATACGAACATCAAGGCAGTTCTACTGCACGGAGCTGAAACTTGGAGAACTACTACAACCATCATCAAGAAGGTGCAAGTATTTATAAGCGATCGTCTACGTAAGATACTCAATCTTCGTTGGCTCAACACCATCAGCAGTAGCCTACTGTGGAAGAGAACAAATCAGCTTCCCGCTGAATAGAAAATTAGGAAAAGAAGATGGAAGTGGATAGGACGTACATCACGGAAATCAGTAAACTACATCACGAGGTAAGCTCTAATACGGAATCCTGAAGGGAAGCAGAAAAGAGGAAGGTCAAAGAACATATTACGTCGGGAAATAGAAGCAGGTATGGAAAGGATGAATGACAACTGGAAAGGATTGCTAAGGATAGGATTGGATGGAAAGTGCTGGTGGGTGGTCTATGCTCCTCCACGAGGAGTAACACGCGTAAAAAATAAAGCTGTTGGAGTTTTAAAAAAACCTAATAATTCACATGTGTATGGAACGCTGTATTTTATGGTATCCCAACTAAATTTGAACTTTCTTCATCAGCCACAAATTAAGCGTAATTTTTTCATGTTTATCAGATATTTATGTACCGAACAATATCCACTGATTTTTCACAAAAAAGATATTTCAATACTTACCTATTTTCAACCTTGTTTTGAAACTAATTATCTATAAACTAGTGACTAACTCTTGATTCATTTTAAAAGACACATATTGTTACAACTTGTAGCCTTATGCTTTATTGATATATAACCTAATGATACCTCCAATTACAAAACAGTGACTTATCGACCGAATCAATGATTCACAAAAACAAGTATGAGCAGTCTAGAGTCCTTATCGGTTCTACTTTCTGTCTAGTCTCGCCTGTTTAGTTCAGAACATCAATCTCAATCTCCGCGATATGAATCATTAATTTCAAACATACTTTGTTTATATACAAACCAAACAGATCACTATAAAATACAAAATAACATTTATACAAGATTTAGCCAAAAGTGGCTGTAAGTGTGGAACACTGTAATGAATAGACTGGGCTTAACTCAAGAACAGTAAACCGTATAATGATAGTCTATGGGTCAAAATAAAGCTCATAATAAGAGGAACACGAATATGAATAGTTCAGTTACTTAACAATCATACAATAAGAAATATATGTATTGTATTAGTTCATACATTCATCCCAACAGTTGTTACCACTCAATATCTTCATAGGGATTCAGCACATTTTAAAATAAGATTTAATGTGATGGAGAAAGTGTATCCGGTTTATTTAATTGATTGTTTTTCATTATCATTATTATTAAAATGTATCATTAAAATGTACTTTAAATCAATTTGTTTATATTATTATTAAAGGTATATCACAGCTTGCTCTTATTATATCTGAACTACAACGTTTATCTACATTATATCATTGTACTATCTTAGTTACTAATCATGCACGATCTCAATTTATTAATTTTTTAAATAAAGAACAATTTAATCGAAATTCATGTTCATTACCACCAACTTCAATTGGTTGCCTTGGTATCAATTGGTCATTAATACCGAATCATCGTGTTTTGTTTGAATGTTTAACACCATGGACAAACTCTCTATCTTGTAAAATTAAAGTTCAATTAGTAAATAATAATTTACATAAAATAAATAAACAAACAAATCATTGTAATAAACATCAACGTAATTCTGAAACAGTTTGGGAATTTACTGTGTAATGTATACTCCAACTTATATGAGAAGATGATATAAACAGGTACAGTCTGTTTGTTATAACCATAAACTTGGTTGTTTGTTTATTTAGTTTATTGACAATTTTGACCTTTGCTCTTTCATATTTTATCAAAAACTTCAACTTTTCTACTAATACTAATGAAAAACTCAATACTATTGTAATGTAAGCTACTTATATCGGTATAAGTAGTATAAAACTAGAGTCAAAAATAGAATATACTTCATGTAGAAGACGGATATTTACCAAAGGAACCATTAACTTTCAGACAATTGATTGATATTTTGCAAATTAAGTATTTACTATATAGTTCTCAGATTTTAGTAAGATATTCTGTAATTTTATACTCAATTACATTCAATTGCACCCTCTCTTGTTCTCCTTCACTACACTGTCGATTAATTTGTTCCTTTGTTTCATTCACTGTTCAGTTTCGTGTTATGAACTAGTTGGACTAGGATAAATGTCAATGATATTTTCAAAATAAGAAAATTTGGTTCAGAGAAGACTTCTCTTTTCAGCTGTACAATTGCAAATATATATATATATACTTATTTTTACAGGATGATAATAATACTGATAATAAACGTCTGTCAGATATGATGACAGTGAGGTTAAATAAACAAAGGTAATAAAAAATATTCTTTTAAAAACACTTACTTACTTACTTACGCCTGTTACACCTCGTGAAGGAGCATAGGCCGCTCACCAGCATTCGCCATCCAACCCTGTCCTGGGCAATCCTTTCCAGCTCCTTCCTTTTAAAAACAAGGAGAGTTTAATAACCGTTTGATTTTATTAATAGCTCAAATATTCATCAAAAGATAGATAGGGAAATTATCATTGGGAAAGGATGGCTCAGCATGATAAGATATAATGTGTAACATCACATTGAATTAAAAAAGACAGAGGTACTGTTGAACAAAAAACACGTTGGGCTTAAAGAATATAATTTTGACTTTTCTACCCGTCCTATCACCTCCCCTTCTTTTCCAAATAATTACGCGTGAATATATTTTCGTACTCTCTGAGATATCCGACTGGTTAGGTGATCGTGTTCCAGCTTCTTTTGAAAAACAATCTGTTCAACCTTCTGATTTTTATGCTTTTCTCCTTTGTTCAATGTATATATAATTCTCCCTCCCCCACGAAACAGTGTTGAATCTTCATGTACCCACGTTACAATCAATGTGACTTTATTGACCTGAGCTGTTTTATTACTGACGAGCACCATTATATATGTGAGTCGTGGTGTGTGGGTATACATAGAGTTTGAAGGATCCTTTTGTGACCCCTGAACATTCTGGTTTCGCAATTACTTCTCAAACACTTGTTATGCCAATTGATTTATCATGGCATTGAAGAGGGATTCTATGTAACATGCATGAGGTGTGAGAGCACACAACATCTTCTACAATGACATCTGAAATGTGATCAGAGTGTAACTTCATTCGAAACTAATGAATCATTAAGACAGTTAGCATCTGATATAACAGCATTAAAATTTGATCAGAAATCGATTCATTTGGAACATTGATCTAACAATGGTTTTAAATTTCACCAGAGGTGACTGGAGAATTAAAATGGTAAGAATCTAATAAAAGAGCATTTGAACATTGTTCAGAGTCAACAGTACTAAAGAATACGTTAACCTCTTCTTCAATCAAAAAACTATTCCTTATTACATCAGGAACTGTATCAGTTACTTCGTTAAATATGTCTATAATTTTTAAGTGCGATTTCGAACTTGATTGTTTGAATACGTGTTCCTTCAATGCACTGATGATCATCAAATGAGATTGAATGAACATATCTTCATTGAACTGAAGGATTGATTTTACTTCTGTGACTGAAATTGTCATGTTCTTACACCAGTATACGTGCCGTTTGTTGTAATAGTGACTTGATAAATAAAAGCAGTAGTATATTTATAACTGAGGAAACAGGATTCGGGGTACGGTAACCTGACAACTGAGTTATAACTGGAACTAGACAGTTATATTAGAAACTGAAACTTGTAAATTGACTCTGTCAGTGATTGTTATGGTTTTCTTCTTTTCAATATTTCCTTCGCCAATGATATGACTGCGTCCCTTATAGTGTTTCTCAATGCTTCAAGAAATCGAAACGATAACAGCTGCACAGTAATAAATATAACGTTTTCGGTATCCGTGACAATATTTGAAAGCACATACCAAATGCAAGATTAATTAATAGCGCTCATAGTTTTGAAAGACGATGAATAATTGACAAAAGAATCACCATCACCGTAATTTTGTACTCAGTTCTTAATGGAAAGGAAATATCAGTAGTTACCATGTGCATGCCCTAAACATGATTGAACAAAACATTAACTACTGAGTATTATTAAGTAGTTGAAATTATACACAACATAAGCTGAACAGAAGAGAAATGAAATCTGAAGCTTTAAAATAAAGTTGGTAGTACCCTCACAACTTTTCCTTACTCTGAACCCAGACATCTTTCAACCAAAACCACCTAGACACTGAAATAGTAGGTTATGCATTTCATGCAATCCTATCAACGAAGTACTCACGTGATTCTTAAATTTTCAAGGGTATTTGGTCGTTCTCTTTATCAAACAATAAATCCTACTAGATACAGGTGTCTAGTACAGTCTACTTATTTTCATAGTTCAAAATGATACATCGTCTGATTCCTCTGATATTAAGATCAGTGTAGTCCTCCTGTACCAACCTGTTTCTACTAAAGGCTGACCTTGACAACTAGCATTTTAAATAGAAGTCACAATTTTGTGTCATAAGCAAATGCAAATATTCCGACTTATACTCTCTTCATTATGATGACTTATCTCTTTTGCTTGAATAATATCACACTTTCTTTCTTTCAAATTTTTACACCAAATACTTGACAGTTCCTGGTTACGGAATGTTATTTAGGTCCAATGAAGCTAACGGTGTCTATTTATTACCCTTGGTCATAACTCCCCTTGTCCTATGCAAACTGTATAAGATCATACGAATATATTTATAATTTGATAGATCTTATATATTTATTTTTGTGGTTGATGTCTAGTCCATTTTTAGTGATAAACGATGAATCAACATTAAGTGATACGAAGCCTTAGATTCGTGTAAGTCGAAATTCTTTGAAAGCTACAAGGTCAATACAATGGTTAATATAAGTATTTAGAACGTCCAAATGATGTTAGAGAATGTGAAGGTGTTTCAGATAGCGGTGGAAAAGAGAAGATACAACCTGAATGAGATAGAAAGAAGTGAGACCTCATGGACACCATCTAGACAAAAAGACTAACTTCAGGAGGGCTATAATTCTATTCTGATCATGAAGAATAAAATGTCCTACGTTTACAATTATTTGCACTGATATTGTTCGAAGAAGCACATAAAGCAATTATAGAGTGGGAAACCCATTTCACCAGCATCACGAATGGGATTCTTCACAAAGACCAGGAAGTAGTTATGATGAATATCATCCAGTGTTACACACTTAACGATGAGAGGAAAGGAAATGATTAAGACCAGTTTTATGAGAGACTCTAGTCCATCCTAAATAGATCCCCGAGAAAAGACCTGACCATTCTGATAAAAGACAAACGCAAGATTAATTACATTTGAGTGGGCACTGAGTTCTTAAGGTTCACGGAAGACATGAACGAAAAGAGGAGACAATATAGTTTGAGACCATCACCTGACAATGGTCAAGCTAAAATTGAAACCAGAACAGCATTGGGCCATTAAAACAAACATCACTTCACTAGTTTAATACAGCTTTCCTTCGAGATGTCAACAGGCTCAGATAGTTTTCGATAGCTGCCATCAATAAGTTTCAAGGTTCACAAGGTCATTTAGAAGAAGAAACAAATATGAAGAGCAACTGGAAAGGGATTATAAAAAAATCGATTTCAAGGTACCAGGAAATGCTGTACTCCAACAAGCAGCAGGATAAAAAGTGGGCCTTTTTAGACAGCTTGGGCAAAACCGAAGAAAGGGAAAACAAGGGGACGGTGGTCAGAAACTGCCGAAAAAAAGCTGAAAAACCCTAGAGACAACCTGAATATACAGAAACAAACAAGTGAAGAATAGCATTAGAGCTAAGGTCCTGAAATTTGTGGAGAACCTAGCAACTACATAGGAAAGTGTGGAAGAAGAGGAAATATGAGAAACCTGGCAAAAAGTCTAAAACTGATTGATCGGTCGGTCATAAGTAACCTATTCTTCTACATTCTCAAATACTTGATGATTTCTGATTGCTGAATTTTATAAAGTGTACTAGTTTCTTAGAGTTTAATAACTTATGTCAAATTTCGACTTCTATAAAGATGTTATGCTATGTTAAGTTACATAGATAAACGTCCTAGCCGTAATATACTTACTATCTGTGAATAATCTGTTCTGTAGAATCCTCAGTACCTGTTTCAGTGGTTGACTACATTCACCACTGATGATAGTTCCATTCTAAATTTTCATTTCAACTTTACTTCGGCTCCAAGACTGAAACACTGTTCAGTAAATAAACAAAAATATGTTAGTTAATTTGGTGAAGACTTGTATGTTTTAAATGTGACTTGTTTCAGGGATTGATATTAGCTAAAGAACTGATGGAAGCAGTGCGGTGATGAACAGCAGCTACCATGTCGGAGTTCAGTATTCTTCAATAATGTTCAGCAAAACCAGAAGCCCCAGATTTTGCAACGAGCTTAATAACATGAAGTTACAGAATGCAAATCCGATATTTCAATACCCTAACTTCAATTAGTATATGATGTAGTACTATCATCAATCAATGTGATTGAGTGACCACTTTCATATCTAAATTGGCTAACTCTAGAGTTCAGAAGATTACCTAGTAATGATGACGAATGAGAGTCACTTCATCAAATTAATGTTACTTTCCTGGGTTCGATCTCAATCGGACTGTGGATACTGAATACCAGGTTGCCTCATAATACGAACACTACCTTCTAATTCTCTATGATGATCCAGTTTATGTTAACTGTTAAAGAAAAAATCTCTAAACGTAAATATTTTCCCCTGAATTTGTTTCAACATTCCCATAGACTACTTAATAGATTACTTCATTCTATCTCTACTAACGACGTTCTGTCTTGATATGAATTGAATACATGTCAATATGTTAACCACGAAAAAAACTATTTGTTCTCTTGTGTTCCATTCCGTCATATTTACATCAGCAGTTCAGTTTTCTAAGTGACGAGATCGAGCAAATAACTTACAGAATGACTTCTTCTACATTCCAGTTTATATGATATATTTAACTGATTTAAACAATGCCGTTTTCTATGTATCTTTTCATCCCAATCTCAGATGTTTGTAGGGAGTACTAAGTGTTAAGTTTACTTTAATCGGCGTATCGAAAATCACTGCTTAATGACACAATCGACTTAAACTACACAGGTTCCCTATTGAGTGGTAACTGATGTAATAGTTTAGTCGTTAGTTTTGATGACATTTTATCAATCATGTTGTAATGTGATCACCACTTTAACTT